GATATCAATCACTGGATTCTCTGGTGCAGACTCGATTTTTCACAGACCGCTGTCACAGTTGGAATATTGCTGGGCGCGGCGTTATATACTACTCAAAAGAAGTTAAGGATCACCCGATTCTATCATATTGGTAACGTTAATCTGTCATGGCATGAGAGATTAACTATTGTAATATGAAAAAATCAGGTGATCCTTAACTTCTTTTGAGTAGTATACAACAAACTAACAAACATCATGTATCCTATACGAGATACTACCAGAAGAGAATAAGCATCGCGTTGTTGTAGTTCAAGACACAATATACACAGTGAAAGAACGAGATTCTTAGCTCTTTTCCCGAGAAGAGGTCATTACAATTATGCAGATATTTATCAAAACTAACACTAAATCCAAATAGACAGGAGGAAATATTCAATACAATAGTTATCTGATAGTATCCTTGTTGGTATGGACATAGACATGATAGCGTCCTCGTTGAAGATGACAGAGACCACGAATTACGTCATTATGTTCTTATATATAAATATCATCAGTGTAGCGAAATCTGTCTGACACAAACTACTTGGGAAAATACATACTACTGTCTTGACAACTGTCTTTACATACATGCCTGACTACTGTCTTGACAACTGTCTTTACATACATGCCTGACTACTGTCTTGACAACTGTCTTTACATACATGCCTGACTACTGTCTTAACAGCTGTTTTACATACATGCCTGACTACTGTCTTGACAACTGTCTTTACATACATGCCTGACTACTGTCTTGACAACTGTCTTTACATACTGTCTTTACATACATGCCTGACTACTGTCTTGACAACTGTCTTTACATACATGCCTGACTACTGTCTTGACAACTGTCTTTACATACATGCCTGACTACTGTCTTAACAGCTGTTTTACATACATGCCTGACTACTGTCTTGACAACTGTCTTTACATACATGCCTGACTACTGTCTTGACAACTGTCTTTACATACATGCCTGACTACTGTCTTAACAGCTGTTTTACATACATGCCTGACTACTGTCTTGACAACTGTCTTTACATACATGCCTGACTACTGTCTTGACAACTGTCTTTACATACATGCCTGACTACTGTCTTAACAGCTGTTTTACATACATGCCTGACTACTGTCTTGACAACTGTCTTTACATACATGCCTGACTACTGTCTTGACAACTGTCTTTACATACTGTCTTTACATACATGCCTGACTACTGTCTTGACAACTGTCTTTACATACATGCCTGACTACTGTCTTGACAACTGTCTTTACATACATGCCTGACTACTGTCTTAACAGCTGTTTTACATACATGCCTGACTACTGTCTTGACAACTGTCTTTACATACATGCCTGACTACTGTCTTGACAACTGTCTTTACATACATGCCTGACTACTGTCTTAACAGCTGTTTTACATACATGCCTGACTACTGTCTTGACAACTGTCTTTACATACATGCCTGACTACTGTCTTGACAACTGTCTTTACATACATGCCTGACTACTGTCTTGACAACTGTCTTTACATACATGCCTGACTACTGTCTTAACAGCTGTTTTACATACATGCCTGACTACTGTCTTGACAACTGTCTTTACATACATGCCTGACTACTGTCTTAACAGCTGTTTTACATACATGCCTGACTACTGTCTTGACAACTGTCTTTACATACATGCCTGACTACTGTCTTGACAACTGTCTTTACATACATGCCTGACTACTGTCTTAACAGCTGTTTTACATACATGCCTGACTACTGTCTTGACAACTGTCTTTACATACATGCCTGACTACTGTCTTAACAGCTGTTTTACATACATGCCTGACTACTGTCTTGACAACTGTCTTTACATACATGCCTGACTACTGTCTTGACAACTGTCTTTACATACATGCCTGACTACTGTCTTGACAACTGTCTTTACATACATGCCTGACTACTGTCTTAACAGCTGTTTTACATACATGCCTGACTACTGTCTTGACAACTGTCTTTACATACATGCCTGACTACTGTCTTAACAGCTGTTTTACATACATGCCTGACTACTGTCTTGACAACTGTCTTTACATACATGCCTGACTACTGTCTTGACAACTGTCTTTACATACATGCCTGACTACTGTCTTGACAACTGTCTTTACATACATGCCTGACTACTGTCTTGACAACTGTCTTTACATACATGCCTGACTACTGTCTTGACAACTGTCTTTACATACATGCCTGACTACTGTCTTAACAGCTGTTTTACATACATGCCTGACTACTGTCTTGACAACTGTCTTTACATACATGCCTGACTACTGTCTTGACAACTGTCTTTACATACATGCCTGACTACTGTCTTGACAACTGTCTTTACATACATGCCTGACTACTGTCTTAACAGCTGTTTTACATACATGCCTGACTACTGTCTTGACAACTGTCTTTACATACATGCCTGACTACTGTCTTGACAACTGTCTTTACATACATGCCTGACTACTGTCTTAACAGCTGTTTTACATACATGCCTGACTACTGTCTTGACAACTGTCTTTACATACATGCCTGACTACTGTCTTGACAACTGTCTTTACATACATGCCTGACTACTGTCTTGACAACTGTCTTTACATACATGCCTGACTACTGTCTTGACAACTGTCTTTACATACATGCCTGACTACTGTCTTAACAGCTGTTTTACATACATGCCTGACTACTGTCTTGACAACTGTCTTTACATACATGCCTGACTACTGTCTTGACAACTGTCTTTACATACATGCCTGACTACTGTCTTAACAACTGTCTTTTCATACATGCCTGACTACTGTCTTGACAACTGTCTTTACATACATGCCTGACTACTGTCTTGACAACTGTCTTTACATACATGCCTGACTACTGTCTTGACAACTGTCTTTACATACATGCCTGACTACTGTCTTGACAACTGTCTTTACATACATGCCTGACTACTGTCTTGACAACTGTCTTTTCATACATGCCTGACTACTGTCTTGACAACTGTCTTTACATACATGCCTGACTACTATCTTGACAACTGTCTTTACATACTGTCTTTACATACATGCCTGACTACTGTCTTGACAACTGTCTTTACATACATGCCTGACTACTGTCTTGACAACTGTCTTTACATACATGCCTGACTACTGTCTTAACAGCTGTTTTACATACATGCCTGACTACTGTCTTGACAACTGTCTTTACATACATGCCTGACTACTGTCTTGACAACTGTCTTTACATACATGCCTGACTACTGTCTTGACAACTGTCTTTACATACATGCCTGACTACTGTCTTGACAACTGTCTTTACATACATGCCTGACTACTGTCTTGACAACTGTCTTTACATACATGCCTGACTACTGTCTTGACAACTGTCTTTACATACATGCCTGACTACTGTCTTAACAGCTGTTTTACATACATGCCTGACTACTGTCTTGACAACTGTCTTTACATACATGCCTGACTACTGTCTTGACAACTGTCTTTACATACATGCCTGACTACTGTCTTGACAACTGTCTTTACATACATGCCGGACTACTGTCTTGACAACTGTCTTTCGTGAACACCTCGCATCATCACTATTTGATAGTGATTCAGAAACACATGCCTTTGATATAGTCGGAATCGTACTGTCGACTCTGCGTTAGGCAGAGATTTCTGTTGGATATGCAAAGGGTTTTGTCGCTTTATTTGTATATATGTCTGACTGCTGTAATGGTATATATGTCTGACGGTTGTTATGGTACATATGTCTGACGATTGTCTGGCTACGGTCGTGGTATACATACAATGAATGAGGGAATAAGTAGAGAGTGGTCTCTCTTCCAGACATGTTGAAGCTACTCCCTCTATTGGTAATGTCAATACTCCCAAAAGAGATGTCTCCATGTACTTGTCTTGGTGGGTAGGGGCTGTCGGGTAGCCAAGTGGTTAAAGCGTCGCTCGTCACGCCGAAGACCGGGTTCGATTCCCGACATGGCTACAATGTGTGAAGCCCATTTCTGGTGTCCCCCGCCGTGATATTGCTGGATTATTGCTAAAAGCGGCGTAAAACCATACTCACTCACTCTTGCCTGGGTATTTGTTTGCTTATTGTAGGGTTTATGAAACCACGCGTGTCTTCGATGATCAGGGGTTTTATATAAAGAATGTACACTTTCGCCGAATGACACATGACACAGATAGCATTTCGTTACACATGTTGTTTTTACATATCATGTGTTAATTATAAACTATTCTTAAATGTCTTGTGTCCGTCAATGTTCCACATTGATGTGATATGGAGCATATTCCTGTTTCGTATCCTGTATCACCGTTCACGTCGTACTAAAAGACGTTAAAAGATGGTATTTGTTGTTAACCTGCCTGAAGCTCAGCATTGAGGGGCTAGAACAGGGACTCGTCGGCTCGGAGTCAGTATATTGTGTCTAAGTGGGGTATTCATGTTAAACTGAGGTATGGTAACACACACACACACACACACACACACACACACACACACACACACACACACACACACACACACACACACTTGCAGACTTTCTACCCTCCAGTAATTGGTTCTGCAAAATGAACGTGTTCTTGTAACGTGTACTCTTTACTCAGAGGGGCGGTCGGGTAGCCTAGTGGTTAAAGCGTTCGCTCGTCACGCCGAAGACCCGGGTTCGATTCCCGACATGGGGACAATGTGTGAAGCCCATTTCTGGTGTCCCCCGCCGTGATATTGCTGGAATATTGCTAAAAGCGGCTTAAAACCAAACTCACTCACTCACTCTACTCAGACAAGAATCTCACATTTGTACAGAGCAGACGTTTTTCAAACTTAACACCATTTTTTTCAGTTTATAAAAAATCAGTAGATCCGTTGTCGTGTAGCGGGATTCCCGGTCCATCACGTGATTGTCTGATTACATGCCGCCGTAGTATTGTAGGAGGGAGCACTGCCGTGGGTTTTGTCCCACTCCTTAATACAACATAAGGCAGGGCTGACTGATCGGCTCATCTTGGAATCTCTATTCTGTTGTCTACATCTGTGTGGTGGACTGCGTCTTGGTGTAATACGATGGACTAGGGGCATCCTGAGACGGCACTGTACGTAAATCAACCCGTTATATACCCTCTGTTAACTTCGGGAATGGTATGACATGTGCTGCCTGTTATGTACCATACTTGACATGTGATATGTTTCATATTCTTGGTGACTAGATATATGACTGATGTGTTGACTAACTTGATGCTTACTTTTTCTCTTTGTCACTTTGTTGGAGAGAAAAGCCGATATATATTTGGTCAATTGGTCATTCTATTGTCATTGTATATCAGTCAGAAATATTTTAGGAAAGAACATGCCTACCCTTTTCTCGAGGACGGGTGTCATCATTGACTTTCAGTGATCCATTCATTTATTTTTCACTGCTATTTTGCCTGTTACGCTTAATGGAATCTATTTCGTCAGATAATCGTCTGGTGTGGACGTTTTTTTATTTCAGGAAGCGAGCCTCCTTCTCATATCTATCTGTATGTCTGTCTGTCTGACTGTCTGTCTGTCTGTCTGTCTGTCTGTCTGACTGACTGTCTGTCTGTGCGTGCGTGTGTAGAGGGTGAGTGTCTTGGATTAATGGGATACAGTCAACATTATGTATATGTATGTATGTGTGTGTATGTGTGCGTGCGTGCGCGTGTGTTTGTGTGTGTGTGCGTGTGTGTGCAGGATCAAGTGTTTTTTTTTACGTGTATAGGTGTTTATTGCAGATTGTGACAAACGTGTTGTACTATATCCTTAAATTGCCCGAATCTGTTGTCATTAGTTCGAATCACATCAAAGTGGTTGACAAGCTAAAATAGGAGGTTCTCTTAGGGAACTGGCTTATCAATGTTTAAACATTTGTACATACCTACATTTATTGAATTTATAGAACTAAGTCCCCATCTTGAGAGACATTGTGAGAGATCGCGAAGCCGTTCATAGACTTCTTTCTACCAGTATTAGGTTTTACCAAAGAAATAAATTGCCCTTAAAAAATATGTCTTTGTTCCCTCTTCGTTTCAAAAGAAGCATTGACTAAACCTATTCGGTTTCTGACCACGAAAACATCTAAGCTGTGTATAGCAGTTAGTATTAACTTTACACTTACTGGGGATTTTCATTTTCCTTTACAAAGCAATTTAGGCTTATACATTCAATCCCCCTATCATTGCGATCACAGGCTTCTTACAGACAGAAAGGCGAAATTGTAGTTAGAAGTCGGGACACGGCACTGTATGGTATAGCAGTTGTTATCCTGCCCTTGCTATAGATTATGCAATAAATCAGTTTGACATGTGATCAAGTCTAGTGTAACTTTCTGCTACATATAAATTTTACCTTTGACAGTATTGATATACTTTCATTTTTTTGTTTTACATTGAACGCATGTTTGATAAATGTTTATGGTTTGATTTGGTTTGTTGGAAATGTTACATCAGACCTGAAATGAAAATCGAAGTAGTCGAGGATAACATATTCTCATCGGCGGTAAACTGAAGACCACAAACCTGATATACGGGGCTGGTATCAGGGAGAACTAAACTGAAGGTCAAAACTATATACAGTATAGTCACGCCCATGGTTACAATCAGAATAAAAGCCCAGTGAATTATACTAACCTAATTAGTAACAGCCCCAAGAAGGTTAGTAATCAGCGAATTTACTATCCTGTCTGGTAGATTGCTCGAAGATGCTTACGATTAGTAAATATCACTTATTAAATTAGTATTATTCACTACTTAAACCACACTGTAACAAATGTGTTAAGAATGCACACATACAAGATACGTTTAGGAATATGTTTCTATCCTAAACGGTATGCACTTTTGGTGTGTTCTATTTAAAGATGTTTAGGGTCTAAACACATGAGGGCAGTCGGGTAGCCTAGTGGTTAAAGCGTTCGCTCGTCACGCCGAGGACCCGGGTTCGATTCCCGACATGGGTACAATGTGTGAAGCCCATTTCTGGTGTCCCCCGCCGTGATATTGCTGGAATATTGCTAAAAGCGGCGTAAAACCAAACTCACTCACTCACTCACTCACTCACTCACTCACTCACTCACTAAACACATGAAATGAGCTATCGCCTCATAGTCTAAACACCACCTAAATACAGCATCCCTATAATCCAAACATGTTTAGAATTTAACACCTTCGAACATGTTTAGAATTTGAACACCTTTAAGCATGTTTAGAATTTAAACATGTTTAAAAAAGTGCATATCATCAGTAGTCTAAAATGGATGAGATGAATAATATATATTGAAATTGAATGTTCAATTCAGATTCACAGACACATGCATAACAAATATACCACCAGAACTTGTCTTACAACGGTACAATATTCGCAAAAAATGTACAAATAAACCTTATGGTGACAAGGAAAATTGACACTAGTGATGACAATAGTCTCCGTAGCACAGGTGATAGCGTGACGGACTACACAACAAGAGGATGCAGGTTCGAATCCCACTGAGGTATACAATGCTTTGTGTCCATCAATGTGATGTTGTTGTATCCCTAATAGTATTTCTCCAATACAGGAATCTGACAATGAAAGTATATCTGATCACTACTAAACCTTTCTTAGTGAGTGACGATAGGCCTCCTAAAAAAATAAATACGAACTGATCAGTAAAGTCTACTAACATGTTAGTGTCTGTGTGGACAGTGAAATTCACTAATTGAGTAAACTTTACATAATATTTCTGGCAGTGGAACAGAAGCAAGGTTTTGTAGTTGCTAAAAATAGGGGTAAATAATAGTCCATGATCGACGACAAAGCTAAAAACACAGGTAGACATGACACCGAAGGTGAGTTGGGTGTATCGTTAGTCTGTCAGTAGTGAGTAGGGTGGTGGGTGTATCTTTAGTCTGTCAGTAGTGAGTAGGGTGGTGGGTGTATCGTTAGTCTGTCAGCAGTGAGTTGGGTGGTGGGTGTATCGTTAGTCTGTAAGTAGTGAGTTGGTTGGTGGGTGTATCGTTAGTCTGTCAGTAGTGAGTTGGGTGCATCGTAAGTCTGTCAGTAGTGAGTTGGGTGGTTGGTGTATCGTTAGTCTGTCAGTAGTGTGTTAGGTGTATCTTTAGTCTTTCAGTAGTGAGTAGGATGGTGGGTGTATCGTTAGACTGTCAGTAGTGAGTTCGGTGTATCGTTAGTCTGTCAGTAGTGAGTAGGGTGGTGGGTGTATCTTTAGTCTGTCAGTAGTGAGTAGGGTGGTGGGTGTATCGTTAGTCTGTAAGCAGTGAGTTGGGTGGTGGGTGTATCTTTAGTCTGTCAGTAGTGAGTTGGTTGGTGGGTGTATCGTTAGTCTGTCAGTAGTGAGTTGGTTGGTGGGTGTATCGTAAGTCTGTCAGTAGTGAGTTGGGTGTATCGTTAGTCTGTCAGTAGTGTGAATAGGGTTGTGAATGTATCGTTCGTCTGTCAGTAGTGAGTAGAGTGAATCGTTAGTCTGTCAGTAGTGAGTTGGGTGCATCGTAAGTCTGTCAGTAGTGAGTTGGGTGGTGGGTGTATCGTTAGTCTGTCAGTAGTGAGTTGGTTTGTGTGTGTATCGTTAGTCTGTCAGTAGTGAGTAGAGTGAATCGTTAGTCTGTCAGTAGTGAGTTGGGTGCATCGTTAGTCTGTCAGTAGTGAGTAGAGTGAATCGTTAGTCTGTCAGTAGTGAGTTGGGTGCATCGTAAGTCTGTCAGTAGTGAGTTGGGTGGTGGGTGTATCGTTAGTCTGTCAGTGGTGAGTTTGATGGTGTGTGTATCGTTAGTCTGTCAGTAGTGAGTTGGGTGCATCGTAAGTCTGTCAGTGGTGAGTTGGGTGGTGGGTGTATCGTTAGTCTGTCAGTGGTGAGTTTGGTGTATCGTTAGTCTGTCAATAGTGAGTTGTGTGGTGGGTGTATCGTTAGTCTGTCAGCAGTGAGTTGGTTGGTGGGTATATCGTTAGTCTGTCAGCAGTGAGTTGGTTGGTGGGTATATCATTAGTCTGTAAGTAGTGAGTTAGGTGGTGGGTATATCGTTAGTCTGTCAGCAGTGAGTTGGTTGGTGGGTATATCGTTAGTCTGTCAGTAGTGAGTTGAGTGGTGGGTGTATCGTTAGTCTGTCAGTAGTGAGTAGGGTGGTGGGTGTATCGTTAGTCTGTCAGTAGTGAGTTGGTTGGTGGGTATATCGTTAGTGTGTCAGCAGTGAGTTGGTTGGTGGGTATATTGTTAGTCTGTCAGCAGTGAGTTGGTTGGTGGGTATATCGTTAGTCTGTCAGCAGTGAGTTGGTTGGTGGGTTTATCGTTAGTCTGTCAGTAGTGAGTTGGGTGTATCTTTAGTCTGTCAGTACTGAGTTGGGTGTATCGTTAGTCTGTCAGTAGTGAGTTTGGGTGTATCGTTAGTCTGTCAGTGGTGTGAGTAGGGTGGTGAGTGCATCGTTCGTCCGTCAGTGATGAGTAGGGTTGTGGGTGTATCGTTAGTCTGTCAGTAGTGAGTTGGGTGTATCGTTAGTCTGTCAGTGGTGAGTTGGGTGGTGGGTATATCGTTAGTCTGTCAGTTGTGAGTTGGGTGTATCTTTAGTCCGTCAGTAGTGAGTTGGGTGTATCGTTAGTCTGTCAGTAGTGAGTATGGGTGTAGCGTAAGTCTGTCAGTGGTGTGAGTAGGGTGGTGAGTGCATCGTTCGTCCGTCAGTGATGAGTAGGGTTGTGGGTGTATCGTTAGTCTGTCAGTAGTGAGTTGGGTGTATCGTTAGTCTGTCAGTGGTGAGTTGGGTGGTAGGTGTATCGTTAGTCTGTCAATGGTGAGTTTGGGTGTATCTTTAGTCTGTCAGTGGTGTGAGTAGGGTGGTGAGTGCATCGTTCGTCCGTCAGTGATGAGTAGGGTTGTGGGTGTACCGTTAGTCTGTCAGTAGTGAGTAGGGTGGTGGTTGTATCGTTAGTCTCTCAGTAGTGAGTTGGGTGGTGGATGTATCGTGTATCTTTAGTCTGTCAGTAGTGAGTTGGGTGTATCGTTAGTCTGTCAGTAGTGAGTAGGTTGTATCGTTAGTCTGTCAGTAGTGAGTTGGCTGGTGGGTTTTATCGTTGGTCTGTCAGTGTTGAGTC